GGACGCAACTACTGTTTTCCTGGGAAATGTCCAGCTGTAAAGGGGGTAGGGGTAGGAGAGAGACCGTTTTGTTCATGCCATTTCTTTCCTTAATGTTCAGTCTGAACTGCTGGCCTTTGCCCTATATAAGTTTCTTTGCCAAAGCTTTTACAGGTGTGCCTGGAATCTATTCATAGCTTTGGAGACAAAAGGACAACAGAAACAGAATGGAAACTGGTGGTGGAGAGTGCCCTCAAACCACAGCTAACTTATGGTGACCCAGTAGGGTTTTCAAGGCAAGAGACGGTCAAAGTTGGTTTGCCATTGCCTGCCCCTATACAGTGACTCTGGACTTCCTTGGTGGTCTCCCTTCCAAATACTAACCAGGGTCTACTGTGCTTAACTTCTAAGACTGGGCCAGTCTGAGATTGGGCCAGCCTTTACCATGGAAACTAGGACAGCCTAATGCACAGAGTTTACAAGCCACTGCTAATTCAATACTGCGCATTTGAGATTTTAAACATTTTGGAGCAAAAGGAGCATCCAGATATACAAGTCTCGTAATGTGGCTTGACACAGTATATTGTTAGATACAGGACCTCCCCGCCCTGGCTCCTTACAAGAAGATTAAGCATGTTTTTACATGGGTGTTTGCAAGCAGACATTTTGAAAAAGAGGGCACATTTCAGAAGTACACTTATCACTTTGCATATGGTTCAGCAACAAAACCAGATATGCTGACAAGACAGGAGCCGCTGCCAACCCTAGCCACCTGATCAGCTCACAGATATTTCCAAACACATTAAAGGGAACCAAGAAGGGTAAAGAGCATTCTGGGGTCTGTGGCTGCCCTCGCAAAAATGGACACAACGACATTGCCTGTTTGGACATCTGATGTGCAGCTTCAGCCATTTCCAGACCTCAATTTGGAATCTGCAATTCTAGAATCAGCCTTAAAACATAATAAGCAACATCTGTCTCTCCATGCAGAGAAAAATTAGGATCCACAGTACATTACTTATGGGGTAACTCCAGGTACCATGGAAAGCATCACAACACCCACCTGCAACATCAACAGCCAACTGCCTGGCCTCTTAGTTGAGTTACACAGCTCAAAAACCTCCTTACAAGAACATATAGTTTTGTGCTGCCTTTTATGCTGCTTGGAGCTACGGTGGCTCAGTGGTTAAGACGCTTAGCTGCAGACCGGAAGGTCTGTAGCTCAGCAGTTCGAGACTCTAATGCTGCATGACAGAGTGAGCTCCCATCTCTGGTCCCAGCTCCTGCCAACCTAGCAGTTCAAAAGCAAGACATTACAAGTAGATAAATAGGTACTGCTTCGGTGGGAAGGTAACAGCGTTCCGTGCACCTCGGCGTTTAGTCCTACCGGCCACATGACCATGGAAAAGTCTTTGGAAAGTGCTGGCTTTTCAGCTTGGAAACGGAGATGAGCACCACCCCCTAGAGTTGGATTCGACTGGCTTTCCAGCAAGGGAAACCTTTACCTTTTGCTGCTCAGGGCTCCTGCATTCTTCACAGTTTTCTCTAGGGGCAAGGGGAGGAGGACAAATCACCGATGCCACCACTGCATCTCTCAAGACAGGGTTCACCAAGCAACAACTGCTGCAGTGAGCGATGAGTGGCACGTGCGTTTGGGGGCACCAGGGATACAACATCATGCAGAGAATTCCCCCATCACCTCAAAGACGACAATTTTCTGCAGTTAGTCATCAAATGAGCCACCAGGCTGGTTCCTACATGCACAATTGAAACCAACTCTTAATACACCCAAACGTTTAAAAACTCAGGTCATTCAACAACTGGCCCAATTCCAATCTCTCCAGGCTTTGTGTCAAATTCGGCTTTCTCTGTTTCCCTCCACATGCAGCGCTTATGTGCGTGCGTGTGGGTAAATATTCACCTGGGATGCAGCACGCCGTTTTCTGCAGCAGACCCATGAAGCACGGTACTGTGTAGGCCCCAATGAGCAGCAAGGCTTCTGCTGGAGGCACTTCTGGTCAACTGCAGCCACAGCCTCCTGTCTGCCTCGTAGGCAGAAAAGGGCCCTTTTAAAGGCCAGTTCACACATACATGTACATCGTTTGATTATTTGCCGCTGACTGTGTGAATCAGCTTCCCTGACAAGTATTGTGTTCGACATGATGCAATAGGGAAGTTCCATCTGCGGCATTTGATCTGCAGAGGCCCCTGGCATGTGTACATCTGCGCCATGACGCTACAGTCATCAAACAGCGAAAATGCATGATCCGCCCATTAGAGAAACAGATACCAAAATTAATTGCATCCAGCTGAAACCCTGACCCAGAATTCGCTATCTGTACACTGAGGAACACCAAAAGCAATTAAGTCCATTAAATGCAAGCTGAAATTTGCAGCCTGCCTCTCAGAAGTTAATACCATCAAACTCAAGTCTCAATGACTCCCTGAGTAAGCATCCTTAAAAGCCCAATTTTAGAAGAGGACTCCAATAGATTTCCTGAGGAAAGGACAAACATGCTTCAGTTTATGTTACTCTGAAGCATGCAATTCACATGGATGGCTCTTTAATCCAGATCTATTTCTAATCCAGATCTATTTCTATTGTGAACCTTTTAAAAGTAACAGTTCATCTCCACTCCAGGAATGCTCCAGGACTGCATTCTCCAGAACCTTGGACAGGATTCCATGACAGACAACTTGATACTGGAAGATGCCTTGATGTTTGAGGACCACCACTGTCAGAGAGACCTCTGATTAAGTGCTGACTTTCTCATGAAGAAAGGGGCCATTTTTTTTGGCTTCCCCTTCCCAATAGTCATTGCTGCATCTTGAGATCTTGATTTGCTGTAGCCAGACACCACCTACACAAGTCTGAAATGCATCTAGTATTCCATTGTAAAGACTTTCCAAGCTGCAGACACTTCCGTTTCCCATTTTATACTAAACACCTAGACTGATTAAGAGTTCTGAGTTTGGCTGGCCTTATTTAAAACATATTCCATAACAATTGCTTTATAGGAAGTGGACTCTGGCTTATGACCACTTTTATAATGTAAAAAAATGTGTGTGTGTGGGGGGAGATTAAGCAAGGGGGCATTAAGTTATAGATGTGCCTTCATCAGCAAACATTGAGTTCTTGGGTTTCAAGCCATGTTAAAGCCACGGGGCACTCCAGTTGTTCACCTATAGACACAAAACGCCCCTGCTTCTAACATCTTCAAACTGAATGTTTTTTCCCCTAATACTTTTAACTTGAATATATATGCTGTACTTTCAAATCTCTTGTGTCTATGTATACACTCTATGCATGCCAGAGAATCCTGTCTATCCTCTATGTTAGAAATATCACTCTCAGAGCAATCCTAGGCAGAGCTACACTCTAAGCCTGCTGACTTCAGTGGACTTACAAGACTAACTGTGTTTGGGACTGCACTGTTAGGCTGTTTGAAAAAGAACACACAAACCTGCCTTATACTAGAGATCAGACCTTCAGCCCATCCAAGTCAGTCTTGTCTACTCAGACTGGCAGCAGCTCTCCAGGGTCTTAAGCACAGTTCTTGCAAATCACCTACTACTTGACCCTTTCAGCTGAAGATGCCCGGACTGAACCTGGGAGCTTCTACATGCCAAACAGCTGCTCTGCTGAGCTACAGCCTATCCCCTAACCCAGCAGCCCAGCTAACGGCTGAAGCCAAATCTTCTGCCAGTTGCTTTGACTACATCCTGCTAAAGTTAAGGAACACTTATGCAGCCCTGTTTTGACCCCAAATTCCCTTTTGGCTTTTACTTTTCCCTTGTGCAAATTAAGCCTGTAACTTATTTTTCTACTATTTTCTGGTGAGATGTCTGCACATTATCCATCAGACAACACATCAGCATGGCACACATAAATGATGGACTGGTACAAAAAAGTTGCATATAGTGACGATACACAATGCTGATTTAGCCACAAAAGCCAGCAAAAAGCAGAGATCCTGTAAATGCAACCACAAATATAAACGATAAACACAACCAAGGAATCATTCCTATTAAAGATCCAGGATTGTATTGAATGCAGTCCCATTTAGTTCCAAATCTCTAAACAGTGAGAAAACTCTAAACTACTGCTAGTTAACGCAAACAAAGAAAAGTTTAGCTGCTGTTTTAGAGGGTGTCCCAGCTCCTAAACTCCATATAGGAGTTTGTACCCGAGTCTGACTTTCAAAACTAACACCTCATTTGTCATAACATCTCCCATTAGCCACACAAACCCATGTATACATGGGAGGGGGCGTTAATGGTCATATTAAAAGAAGAAGAAAAATCCCAAAGAAACCTAACCATAAGCACCCAACTATTTAACATTTCTTCTTCTTTTTTTTAAAGGACAGCGGATTACCCAGCACAAGAAGAGCCCCGGTCCCTACCCTACACCCGAGGAGCCCTGCTGTGTAATTAAGGGAAGGATCCTGGCAGGCAGGAAAGCAAAGTCACCCTACAAGGGATTGGCCTCCTGCCTGTTTTCGTAAAGAATCTGTTTACAAGACGAGTCTCCAAAGATCACAAGGGACAAAAGACATTCCAGCATCCATTGTCCAGTCACCCAAGCGAGCCGTACAGGGACGAAATGACGGAGGGAGGGAGGGTACGGAGAGAAAGCAACGAGAGGCTCTCCCTCAGCGGGGAAGGTGGCCAGGTGGAGGGAACGCGGGAGCCGAGGCGCTCTCTGGAAAGCCGCCGCCGCCGCTGCCCCCCCCCCCCCCCCCCGGCAGGTTGACGCCGGGGTCAGCCTCGCCGAGTTCCACGGGACTTGCTTGCCCCAGTCCCCAGGCAGGGTCGCAGTAGCCCTCGACCCTCCTCCCTTAGGGACCTCGAACGTGAACGCCGCACGGAGATCCGCGGGCTTTACTCGCGAGTAAGCGCGCCTCGCGTCCGGCGGGGAAGGAAGGAAGGAAGGCGGGGCGGGAGGGGAAGAGAGCGACGGGATTCCGAAGACACGGCAGGAGGAGGCGAGAGAGAGAAGCGAGGCGGCTGGAACTTACCGAGGGTGAGCAGGGAGAGCTCGGAGGCGACGGCGCTGACCATCTTGCCGGCGGCGGGCGGAGAGACCGACTCACCTTTCCGCCACTTGGCCCCCAGCGCAGCCGACCATGCCCGGCCGAGGAGTCGCTGCTGCTGCAGAGGGAGGGGGGCGGCCGAGAGGGAGAGAGAGAGATGCTGGAGGCCGCAGGGAGGGAGGGAGGCAGGGAGGGTGTCGGGCGTCGCACGCCGCCGCCACCTGCGTCCTCCTGGCGGACGGGACGGGCGAGCGGGCAGAGGCAGCCGCGGCTCCCGCGCAGCGAGCGAGCGAGGCCTTCGGCGGGGCGGGGAGGGCAGGGCAAGAGCGCCGCTCCTCGCGCTGCGCCGGCCGGTTTCAAGGTGCGCTCCGGAGCGCGGAGTGGCCGAGCCGCGCCTCCTCCCTCCCACGCCCCCCTGGCGGGTTGGCTCCTCCGTCTCGGGCCGGAGAGCGAGCGGGGCCGGCGCGGCGATGCGGGAGGCCGGCGCTAGGCGGCGCCCGGAGGCCGCGCAGCCCCTCACTTGCCGGGCGGGAAGGGAGCTCGGCGCTTCAGCCGCAGACTTTCGCCGCGCGGGGACTCCCGCGTTCGAGTGCGCGGCGGCGGATCTCAGGCCGCAGGAGACTCTCTTTCCCCAGGCCTGCAGACGGCGTCGATCATTTTGAAAGGCTGCCCTGCCGGATATTTGGAACATGGAGGCTCTACGCTTAGCAGTGAACTCATCCAATCCGTTAAGGGAACATCCTGTTGGAAGCACTTGGTTGACAGTTATGGACGGATCATAAGAGTTGCCTTGCTGGTTCAGACCGAGGCCCATCCTGTCCAGCGGCCTGTTTCTCACTATGATGAGTTTTCTGGAAGCCACCAAAACAGCCCTGGAAGCAGGGCCGGCTCCAGCTTATTTTGCACCCTAGGCGAAGATCCCTTCTGCCCCCCCGTGCCCCCAACCATTTTCAAAAATAAATGCATTTTAGGAAGAATGAAAAACACAAATAATCAAGAAACTCCCAGAGTACGGGGCCGGGTGCAGTTTGGTGCCCCTAAGGGCCGCCCCGCTCTAGGCGATCGCCTAGTGAGTGAGCCGGCCCTGCCTGGAAGGCAACTGGCGTGCTGGGGCTGCACAGGACATGCTATCTAGCTACCATGGTGGTGCAGTAGAGGGCCAAACTAGGATCTGGGAATCTCCGCTCTGCGCTATAGAAATTCACTGGGTGACCGTGAGCCAATCACTCTCAGCCTAACCTGTCCTGCAGGTATCTGAAGAAGTGAGCCGTGACTCAGGAAAGCTCATACCCGACCACCAATTTTGTTAGTCTTTAAGGTGCGACTGGTCTCTTTCCTACTATCTCACAGGGTTGTTGTGAGGATAAAATGGAGAGGGGAGAAAGATGATGTCAGGCTCTTGGAGTCTCCCCCCTCCCCCATTGGAGAGAAAAGTGGGCTAAATACCTACAAGTATTTAGATACATACAAGTATGAAGGTTCTAATTTTAAGCATAGTTATTCAGAAGTAAACTTCATTTAAATATGTAGGCCTGAAAATCTAAGTAAGCTGAGATGCAGATTTCAAGCTTGCTTATTTAAACCTACAGTATTCCATTGGCACTGTTTCCCTTCCCATTCAGGATGCTGAGGACTGTGGCCAGAGAGAAACCTGGTGAGAGTCTACAGTGCCATCTAGTTCACCCCTTACCTACCATTTCCTGAGGGTTGGCCTAGGATCTGGGATGGAAACCCACATTCGAATCCCCACTCTACCATGGAAGTGTGTTGGGTGATCTTGGACCAGTGACCTACCAACCTACCTCAAAGGGTTGTTGGGAGGAACAAAAAGGAAGACAGGAGAACAATGCAAGCCCCCTTGGGTTCCCACTGGGGAGAAAGGTGGAATAAATTGGCTAAAGAAAATAAATGCCTTTGTGATGTGCACCCAAATAGCTGTACAGGGATGTCCTCTGTTTTGGACTTCTACAAAAGCTGCCAAATAGATCGTTCTAGTCAGGGGTCATTTCGTAGAAAAAGAGCTAGGGGGACTCATTAGCATAACTCATTAGCATATGCCACACACCCTGACATCACCGGAAGAGTGTCATAAGGCCACACCCCCTGACATCACCGGAAGTGTGTCATAGGGCCACACACCCTGCCCCCAACGGTCCCGGCCACTGCCGCCGGCAGGGGTGGGGAGAGGCAGGGAGGAAGCAACTTACCCTCCCTCTTCTCCTGCCTCCTCCTGGCTGAATGAGGGCCGGAAGCGGGGCGGCCGGAAGCGGGGCGGCCGGAAGCAGGGGGCGGGGCTTCGTCATGTGCCCCGCCCCCGGTACCTCACCCGGGGGAACTGTGTTCCCCCGCGTTCCCCTCCGAAATGACCTCTGGTTCTAGTAGGAAGGTCCTCTATGGCAGGGCAGGCTTCCAAGGTTGTGTAAGTTCTTGTACTTGGGCTACTGATTAGCAGGGTTTGTTATTTCAGCAAAGGGCCTTCCCTGCTAGCCATCTGCCTTATAATTCCCAAATTGCATCATTAGACACAAGACTGAATGATTTTTCGGCCAAAGCTATCAGAAGGACAACACCTCCCCCTTAGTCATCTAGGTAATTTGCACCTGCTTTACTGCCAGGCTGCTGCAAGGAGCTGCAATAAAACAGAAACCAGAAAATGCGTGCCATCAGCAGACAAGAATGTCTCTGGACCTTTGTGCATTCCTCTCCAAGGGTGACATTGCAACAGCACAGGATCCAATATTAATGAAGATGGGTTAAAAATAGGGCTGCATAATGAACTTGCTACCATTTTGGCTGACTTCTCCAGAAGCATTTCTAAAGTAATATTTTTTTTAAAGAAAAGTAATAAAAATGGAATTGCAGGTTTCCCCCCCTTTACGGTACTGTTATAGTAAGACAGAATGAAAAAGGACGATATTAAGGCTGCACTTCAGAGAACACTTTCCTAGGAGTAAGTCCCATTGAATAAAATGGGACACTCCCGAGTAGACCAGCTTAGGATAGCATTTGAAGTAAGCCATTGCTTCCAAACAGACAAGTGATAGTTTAAATATTATATGAATCAGTGGTAGGAAAAACCTGGCCTGCTAAATTTCTGTTAAAGCCACATCAGCAAAAAAAAGAAGAAGACAGTGGCTGGTAGCTCTGCCCTGGTCTCCAAAGGGCCCCCAGAACTCCCTGCTCTCCCTCCTTGGATTGTTAGGTGGCAAAGAATACTGGGCTCCCATCATTTCAGCATAAAAGTTTTGTTGTTGATTTTTGCTGTCAAGTCACAGCTGACCCCTGTAAGGTTTTCAAGGCAAGAGACCTTCGGAGGTGGTTTGCCATTGCCTGCCTCTGCATCCTTAGAGGAATCCCATCCAAAGACTAGCCTTCTGATCTGATGAGATCAGGCTAGCCTAGGCCATCCAGGTCAGGACAGCATAAAAGTTAGGCGTTTCAAACTTTGCAAGCACACGTAAAACATCTGAAAGGTACAGGGGCCATCTTTCTCATTGTGAAACCCATTCCTTCTCTGAGAAAAGAATCCCCTGATTTCTTTCCAAATCAGCAGGCAAATTTTTCAATCAGCCACTGAAGCTCTACATTTTTAAGCGGCATATTGGTGTACAGATCAGCGCGGTGTGGAGGTTAGATTGTTTGACTAAGATCTGGGAGACCCACAATCGTATTCCCACTCTCCCATGGAAGCTTGCTGGATGATCGTGGGTAAGTCATGGTTTCAGCCTGACTTATCTAAGGCTGCTATATGAATAAAGCAGAGGCCTCAGCTGTTGAGAAAAGCAAGGTATACATATATAATAATACTAATAAATAAGTCTCTCTGTGCTATGAGAAGCTGCTGATTTCTGTAAACAAATCGGCTATGTGAAAGGCAGAAGAACAGGCCCAGCATTTTTCCTAGTCAGTTGGCAACCCGGCTTCCCTGGTTATTTTCCCCTCCTCTGCATACTGATCAGCACTGTATTTATTTATGTGACTAGAAGGTCCTTGTGCTCTAATCAGCTGCCCACTGCTGCTGTGAGTCAGTCATTGGGTGAAGGTGATTGCTACATCCCTGGAGGAGAGCACTTGGCAATCTGGAGTGATTCAGGGTGAATTATCAGAGTGGTTTAGCACTAAATGGGGAAAGGAGAGGAGGGTAATTCCTTTCTTGTTTAAATTTTTATTAGATTTCCACACATAATAAAACCAGACAATAAAGGGTAGGAAGGGTAAAGGGTATGGGGTAAGACATACAGAGAAATTCCTTCAAGTTTGTATTATAGCTGTTACAAGTTTCTACTTCTGTTTACAATTTCCTTTCTTTTAATTACTAAAGTTGTTATCAGTTAATCTATTCACTGAGATTTTCTCTTATGAATCCTGAAAAAAGAAAATTAAGTTTTCCGCAGTTCAAGCTAGAGTTTCTCTAAGATTTTAATATTTAAATTCATTAATCTTGATCTTCAAGGTTTCTTTCTATCCAGTCATAAAATGGTATCCAATTATCTTTCCTATTTTGCTTGCTTCTGTCTTTCAGACAGTTCAATAGTATGTCCACTTCTGCTGTCTCAAAGATTTTCGCTTTCCGTTGGTATCTCTGATTTCTTCCAATACTTAGCATATAATATTCTTGCTGCCGTGACTATGTGTATAATTAAATGTTTAAGTTGCTTATCTTTAACATCAGGCATAATATTAAGTAAGAACATTTCCGGTTTAAATGGTAACGTTACCAAACATATTTTTTGTAACATTTCATGAACTCTTCTCCAATATAACATCACATCTTTACACTTCCACCAAACGTGGAAAAAAACTTTCCGCCCATGTCTTACATTTCCAACATTTATCAGACACTCCATGATACATTTTAGCTAGTTTCTCTGGTGTTATATGCCATCTATAAAACATTTTATATAAGTTCTCTTTAAAAGCAACCAATTTTGTTATTTTTACATTTGTTTTCCACATTTGCGACCAATGGTCAAGATCAATATTATAACCAAAATTTTAGGCCCACTTTAACATACAATCTTTGATCAGCTCATCCTCCATCTTTATCTGTAACAAAAACACATAACATTTCTTAATCAATTTATCTTTTGTTTCACATAAAAGTATGTCAAATTCCGATTGATCTG